GAATACCAATTCATTGAATACCGACGAAGGTGCAACCAGAACAGAACCAGACTCAACAATCAAAGCAACAGAATCGAAGGATGGTGGTGAATCAAATTGGAACAGTAATTCATTCAATACCGATGAAGCTGCATCCAGAACAGAACCAGACTCAATAGTCAAGGCAACCGAATCCGACGCTGATGGTGAATCTGCAGAGAACACTAATTCACTGAATACCGACGAAGGTGCAACAAAAACAGAACCAGACTCGACAATCAAGGTAACCGAGTCCGACGACGGTGGTGAATCAAATTGGAATACTAATTCATTGAATACCAAGGATGCTGCAACCAGAACAGAAGCTGACTCAACAGTCAAGGCAACCGAATCCGACGATGATGGTGAATCTGCAGAAAATAACAATTCAATGAGTACCAATTCATTGAATACCAATGATGCTGCATCCAGAAGCGAATCAGAGTCAGCTAACAGTGCAACTGTTTCCAACGATGGTGGTGAATCAAATGAGAACAGTAATTCATTGAATACCGCTGATGATGCATCCAGAACAGAATCAGACTTAACCATCAACCCAACTGTATCCAACGACGGAGGCGAGTCAATTGGGAACACTTATTCATTGAATACCAATGATGCTGCATCCAGATCGGAATCAGACTCAATCATTAATGCAACTGCATCGAAGGACGACTTCTCTTCTACTATTAGATCTCAGGCACATAGTGATGAATCTTCAGGTGGAAATTCTGATTATGCGAGGACAAACGCTTCTCTGGACACAACAACCATCAGCCAACCAAGCACTGTCCATGATTCATCAGATAAGCAACCAACCAGCAGCAGGTCCATTGAATTATCATCAGTTATCCATACCGAGGATCACTTAACTAGTCGAAGTCTCACAAGTTCAAATTTGACTACCGTTAAAGCAGAACAAAGCTATGATTCAAATGATAGAAGCCAGTTAAGTACATATACCACAATTGATACAATAGCTGAAACAGGTGGTGGCCATTTAGGTACTTATACAACAATAGGTGAAACAAGCAGGGTCTGGCTGTCCGGTGGAGATACAGGAAATAACAGAGAAACTTCAAGAGAAGAAACACAAGGCGGTGTTGATTCCAATGTTACAGCTGATGCAAATGGTTTACGTTCTACAAGTGAAAATGGTACTGGACATAGAGGTAGTTCTGGAAGGACTGAAAGTGAACAGAAAGGAAAAGGTACGGGAACTAACGGAAATCCTACGGCCGATTCTCAACCCAAAGAAACAGCAAACTTGAAAGGTGATGGTGAATACATTAAATCTGATACAGAAAGTACATACCAAGTTGTAACAAGCATGTTAGGCGATCCAACTTATGAAGCTCAAGAAAATGGAGGAAGTAACAACCATTCTAAGGGTCACCCGGACAACGACAACTTATCAGGAAACGCGCATGGTGACAAGTTAACTCTTTCAGCATCAAATGGATTTGACGGTGAACTAGTAGAAGATAAAGAAGATGAAATCCCCGCCAGCAGAAACCCAGATGCAACGGACATGAATTCAGGGATTACTACCACGATGGGTGTTGGGACGACGCTTTCTAAAGTCTATTCACGCTCAATCACTGAACATACAATGCTATCCTACATTGATGGAGGTCTATATTCTTACTATTCAGATATCGTCTACATTGTGTTGGCCATCTTTTTCTATGCCTTATAATGTTGTTTCCTAAAGTCAGAATTGATTCTCTGCTATATTATCAAGAATTACTTTGTTTTTATATAGTTAAATATTTGTGCAGATCTTATAATTTTCAATATTTCTTTTCAGTATATTTTTAAGTACATGATTTTTACGAACATACTTTAAGTAGAAGTAATGTATCATTGAGATACATGTTACGTAAGTTTTTAATACTTGGATAGCATAGCAACAAATGGCTCACTTCGACTTGGACTAGAATTGTACCCATAGAGGAACTATTGAAAGATAATTACTTTCTCTCTGAGTAATCGGGTCATTGGAGATTTGGGTACAAAGAAAAAAATCCTGGGGCTCCACAATCGACTTAATTATCTTTGCATCTTGGTCACTCCACACCTATTCACTTCCTTGAAATTATTAATGTTTAAAACATATATCTATGAAATTTGCCTTTTAAAAATCGTGGAGGAATAGATTGGCAACGGGTTTTCCAACGCAAGCAACCCCAGATTGAGCATTCGCGTTGTTTATCAATTATAGTCAATCAGTTATCTTTTTGAACTAGCCGCTACACAATCAGTGACAAATTTCTTTGCAAGAACAAACAATCCAATAAGTACTTCCCTACTAAGAAAATAATTAATTTTTTATTTTAAGTTAAAAAAAAATAATTTCTTGTTATAAAAATATATGATTCTTGAGTCTCTCTTTTACATGAACAATTCAAATTGATTTTATTAGTTAAGTTAGTTAAGAAGAATATTCTATATAAGTTAATCATTAATTTTGGATCTACGTCCAATTTTATATTATTGGATGAGCAAATTTTTCTCACCAAATTTGCTTAATAATTTATTTTGTGCTCATTCATTTAAGTTTGTGTTCGAATTAATTTGTTAAATCTGTTAAATCTGTTAATCTGTTAATCTGGTAATCAGTTAATCTATTAGGTAACCTCTATAATATTATTTAATTAAGTTCATTCATTGTTAGTAATTTACTTTTCTCATAAGATACATACTTGTCCATAATAGGCATTCATCAATATTCTTATTTTGTGACACAAATTCAAAACGACAATGTCCTTGGATTAATTTATTTCCACATTCCCCCTTAATCCTATGGGGTTTGTAGTTCTCATAGTTTCCATCAAATCCTTCCATTCAGTTTCTCCAGGAATTCGATCAGGATTAGCCTGCTCTCATTATTCCAACAATATAACTTACTTGCGACGACCAACAACCAAGCCCTTGGATTATTTGCTAATTTAACACTTTTTTATTGAGATTTTAAACTTTTATCAATATTTTATTTTTGCAACTATTAATTACATAAATAAAATTAATTTTTAATACCTAAGAACAGTATATATATATATACATATACTATAGACATTCGTCATTCTTATTACAAGGGCATTCTGAACGCTCATACTATAAAAACAAACATGACTTATTGTGGTACTTTCTTAGGTTTACTTATTTGAGCCCATGTCTTTGCTAAGGACTTTGCTACTTATCCCAAAATCCCCAAAACCGCAAGTATCAATGGCTTTGCTGATCCAATTATTGATTTACTACAACTGTGTGCAAAAAATTGAGTAAAGACTGATGCAGGAAATACGCCTTGACCTTATTGGGATACATGATGCTTCTGTTTTATGTCACAGTGGGCAGGATTGATGGGCCAATGTATAGCCGAAAACTGTGAAGGAAGGGATGTCAACAGTTTTTTGGCAAGCTCCTTATGTTCGGTGGTTGGTGCAAATACATTGATTATGCCAGAAATAATTTCTGATGCTCTTTCGTCTGCCGCAGGAACAGTTGCACCTGTAACTACAATTGAAGGGGAGATATCTTGGGTCATATCAAGGACAGTGTAAGAAACTTCGAGTGTTCTGTCCAACACATCGACAGGGAGCAGTGAAAATTTAGCTATTTTCCCAAATGGCTGTATCACTTCAAATATTTTTGGATTCTTGTTGTCTGTTTTGGCTTCTTAATTGTACTTTAAGTAGGTATCTTTTTCTCGTATGTAGTTCGTATTGTTAATAAACAGTATTTAAATTTGGGAATTTTCAATTATATCCGTAATTATCCGTTACCCATTTATTGCGAATGATGATCATGAGTTTTGGTTGGACGCTTAAATGTTGTTCACAAACTTCTTATGAGCATTTCGTGATCTCGATTTATATTAATATTCTTCAACTGTGGCAACCAAAATACCTGCCTACTATCTTTCATCCATAAACTCTTTAATTACCTCTTCTCTTGTGGTGTTGCATAATTTTCATCTCATAAAACTGGAATTTCATTTACAGTTTCGATCTGATATTTGAAAGCACTGTCCTGTGGTGGTTTTGGAGTGGTTGAAAATAAATTCGGTCATTCACCCTCTTTCTCAAGATGCTTTCTTGTTTCTTGAATGGTTCGTCCTTCAATTTCATTTATTTTAAAAATAAATGGTCTGCGTATTGAATTCAAAATTCATTTCAAGACTGGAATAATCTAATAGAATTCACAATTAATTTTGGGAATTGATTTGGTATTCAATTCAAATTAATTGAAGGAAATTGAATTGGATTATGTGGATAAACGTTGTAAACCTGGTTCAATAACTGAGCTCATTATTTAAAACAGATGAAATAGATGTTCGTTCTGCATGTACAGGGTTTGAAATATTAAATGGCTTCCTGTTTTGGCTATGCTGAAAGCAAGAACAGTAGAATTATATTATTGATGTACTGATTGATGGTTGTAGGCATTGGTGATTAAATGATGATCTACAAATGAATTAAATTCTAATTTCCTTACTTAAAAATCAAATTTCATTACTCTCGTTTCCAGATTTTTTTTTTTTTTTGAATTCCACTTCCAATTCATTTGTTGTTAGACCACAAATCTCTACAACAACAACAATCATTTAGCAGTAGAAGAATCCTTTAGCATCCCAAGTTGAATCATTGAGATAATTCTACAGTACCACCTGATGAATTATTATAAATAGATTGGTTAGTTAGTTGATTAATTTCAATCACTTACACAATCTTTAAAAATACAGATAAATCAACTTTCACTATTAATCCATCTAATTAATCAAATGTTAATATAATTAGAGTATTGTGAAATTATTAAGAGGTTTCTTGTCTTGCCCTAAACAAAAATCCGTCAATATTTGAAGAATAATCATCAAAAATCCATGCTATTTTTGATAGGTGGAGCTGAAGGAGAAACAATCACAAAGAACTGGAGAGGCAAAGGTTGCAACGATCGATTGAGATGAAGCAGAAGCCTTACGATAGAATGGAGAATATTCTGGAATCGATTGATTGATTCTCAAAATTTATGTTGATTTAGTAGCATCCACCAACTTGGGAGTTTATCCATATTATTAATTTAATTTAAGTGCATTCTTCTTATTACAAAACAGAAGATAATGCTTTATCACCGATAAATCAAATACATCGATATATATCACATATCGAAACTGGGAAGGAAGATTCAAAAGCAGCACAAATAGAATAAAAAAAATTCAACAGTTGAAATTTCACAGATAAAATAAGATCATATCAAAAGGAAGTAGTGGGTGATTGCACATACGTGTTTAGAAGTAGAAATGATGAAATGAAATGAATTATTAATTTAATCACTTGAAGTTAAAAAAGTATTTAATATTCGTGCATTGATAGGTGGTGATTGTGCAAATAATTATAGAGAAAAGTATCCATCCATGTAACAGTGAATCATAAAACCATTGAATACAGATAAATAAACCTATCTTAATAAAATTGAAGATTATCGGCCTTTATAAATTGAAGCATCTGTATTGGTAACACCCTTTAAATTGCAGAAGTTTTGATATGTTGGCAGAACAAGGTATACAATGCAGTATTATAGTAGGTTAGCTATAGTTCATTAGAGAATCTTTTTGATTGTATAATATCTTCATCTTGGTCGATTCATTATCATCCTAATATGTTTCTTGATTTCGCTAATTTCTTTTATAATGATATATTCCGCAGATGCTTGTGTTCTAAATAATTTATAATTCTGTTTGGTTTTTGTTCTTATACCTGCAATGTCTAATTCTTAATTTTCTTATTATGCTTCTTCTTGTTGTTCTTCTGCTAACGCTAATAATGCTACGGTTTCCTCTTCTTCTGCTCCTGCTGTTGATGCTTCCTTATCTTTTTGATTCTTCATCTCGATCTTCCATCAAACCTGGGGATATTGCGTTTGGCTTCTTGTCGCTATTTCAATATGTATTATCCTGGTAACTCGATTGAATCTTAAATCTTGCAACTTGGATTCTCATTCTACTTCTATTTCTAAATGGATCTTCTACCCAATTGGCCATAATATCTTGCTTATTGGATTACATTTATTTGGTCATTATGATTCACCAGTTATTAAGTATGAAAATTTTATGAACAATTGAACAAAGTAGTTAAGTTTTTTAAATAAGCCTCTATGAAAGCCTCTCTTTAGAAGATATCTTATAATATACGAAATTTATTATTTCTATCAAGACCCCATATTTTCTACAAGAAGATAAACATATATAAATTATAGATTCAATTTAATGACGAGACAGGATACACAATTTTTCCTTCTTACTGGAATTTTCCATCGCGCTACCAACCCACCATGAATGTATTAGATTTAAATTTAAGTTTATACGCAAACATTCTTCTTTTAATATTTGTGTTCAATTTGAAACAACGCCATTCTTTGTAATCATTTGTCAACTATGGACCATCAAGATATAATAGAAAATGCGTTGGCAACTGCTGTCCTATTTCTTCAAGACTTAGATATTACAGATGATGATTTGGAAGATAATCTGGTACAAATCAATACTCCTCGTAGACAAAGGTCAGTCCTAGAATTAACCCCTGCGACTCATATAGAGGAAGAAGATATCCATGAAGAGCAAGAAACTCAACCAAACCTTTATGAAAATATTTGTAGAAGACTTACTGGAGATTTAACTCTTGAAGATATTGCAGAAGGAGACACTAGACCATTTCCCCGTTCTACTATTTTGGGCGAAGATAAAATGGTATATCTTATGGAATTCAAACGAAAACTGTATAAAAGATTTATTTATCTTCATGGTTTGCTTATTGATGAAAACAGAAACATCGTGAACCCTTCTGTTGGGTTCCGGAGAAACAATGGTCAAGTCCTTAGGTATCTCAAAGAAAGAGGTCATCCATTGATTGATTTAAGTTCGAAATACAATAATAACACTCGGTTGCTTGCTTTCCCTCACAATATCTTATGGGAATATGTTACTCCCAGAAACTTCCAAACTGAAATTGTAGGAAATGATGCTAATAGATACAGAAGATATGTAAGAAATCCATTGAAAAAGACAGTATATCAACAGATTAAAGGTGCAAAAGTTGTCATTGGTCTCAAGCAATCCTTTGTTATTTATGTTCCAAGAGAACGAAAGTCGAATGAGAATCATATCGATCTAAGCTGCAGGGAAACAAGGGGTAGGCCAAAAAATACTATAGATACAATATTTCAAGGTTTTACATTCAGCAATCTCGATTTCGAATATCTTTTGGAGGGGATTGATTCAAATAAGATGAAAGAGGGTAGTGATATTTACAGATTGATAAATACCCGAGTTATGAATGATGCTAGATCAAGCTTATTTCACTCTCCCATTGGTGATGAAGATATATTCAAAGATTATGATGAAGGAGTAGTGAACACATACTCCACCTACTTCGGACAATTTTATAATTTGCTTCATTATTTTGGAAACTTTCCTTTCATTGTAGATTCCTGTACCAGCGAAGATAAACTCGTTCTACTAAATTTAATCCAAGCAAACGAGGACGAAAGAGTTGAGAAAGTAACCGATCTATTCATTCATTTTAATTCAATTAATGGCGCTGCGTTTTTAAAAGCTTTGTCATATCCGTACCTTAGAAGATTTTCAGACGGGAAAGTTTATCGTTTACCCACACTCTTGGTGAAGCTAGAGGCAATTAGGAACGTCTACAAATTTGTTATATTTCTTCGAACATCAAACCAACAGATGAGCAAATTTTCTAAAGGCATATGGGAACCTGAATATATGGGTTGGAGTTTCCTTGCGACTTTCTATTCAAGTTTACTAAAAGATCAAATTAAGCATAGGGTAATTGTAGAGGGAAGTGGGAAACTAGGTAGGTGCTTTGTAAATGGGATCACAGTGGATAAGGATTATATATCGGACACCTATTACAAATCAGCTTGCTTTTATCAAGAAAAATTCGAAGATCTATGCCGTATTACCGGAAGCAATGTTTTGATGAGCGAGGTGTTTGAAGACTATAAAAGTGTATCGGGCCACGACTACACACGATTATCATTAAATGAAGGAGTGGAAAATGGTTATTTTTTTACACATGGTCTTGACGATGTTGAGAGGAGGAAAATATTAAGTACTATCGATGAGATGACGAAGGCGCTTGCATGTATGATGCTTCTATCTTGTGCCAATATATTCAAGCCCGCAGAAATATTTCGAATTAAGATTCTTGGAGATGATTACAGCAATAGGGATATGGTCTTCATGGATGGATCAGTGTTGATACGACAGAACTACGTAAAGGGCAAACAATTTTTCAGAAGATTATGTTATACAACAAATTTAGTAACCAAATTCATCATAGTTCATGTCACAGCAGTAAGAGGATTATACATTCGAATTCTTCAACCTAACTTCCCATCGATTTCAGAGGAATTTAACGGGAAGCAAGGGTTGGCCCCAGAAGAAATAGAGATCACCTTCTACAAGACATTTCTTTTTGTTTCTCGACATGGAAGATTACTTACACTTCAAGACTTAAATAGTTTTCAAGCTAAATTGTTGGACATAGATCAAAGAGATGTTTTAAATGCGAATATTCTTAGACGCAGTATTGCATGGTTTATAAAAGAAGAGATGCCAGGTGGATTAGACTATTATACTGCATTCCTAAAGGACGTGGAAGATATTAGGAAAGGTAGAACTAAAGCTTTGACATTCGCGCGAAGAATGCCAATATCGAACCATAGTCAGTTGGATGTAAAGATATTTTTCAATAACTTCTTTTTGTTTATGGGAATTTCACAAGGTACCCCGATTGGTGGTCAAGAGCGGCGAAGAGGAAATGAACATGTTTTATCAGTTGGGCCACCTGACAAGAGGCCCCGAGTAGCGTGATTTGAGACATACAGAGAAAAACAACCGGAACCAGTGTTTTATCTGACATATTATTAGGGTTGCACCGAATTGATAGCTTCTACTGTATAGTTAAAGTTTGCTACGTGTACGGAGACTGGGGAAATTCACCTAGCGTGCCTACATATCAATTAATAATTACCTTTACGGTAAAGGGTATTTTTGTTTATATTGAAGAATTGTAAAAGACATCCAGAATCACAAATTTATTACAGAAATTTCGGAACCGCCACTAAAGACAAGGAATACCGGACCTCGCTTCCATTGTTCCGATGTCAAAGGCAAAATATTTCATGTGAATCGCATATTACCTGTTCACGGTCAGTAAAACATGTAGTTTGAAGCAATTGGAAAACAAATTTCTCTGGATCAAATTTAAACCATTCTTAATTTGAATCCGACGTGAGAATTCACGAACAATTCATAATGCCGGAGAAGTCTCATTGCTTTATTTAGAGTGAGCTGGATAATACTCTTGTTGCAATCGAAGAAAGATGGAGAAGGATACACCGAAGGTTGATAGGCATCTTTATTACAGCATTGTCATGGATTGGGAGAATATCGATATTGATCTCCACTACTGGACAACAAATTAAATCTGGGTTCCAAAATATGTAATGAGATTGAAAATTATATGAACATTACTTTTTGCAGGTTCACCTCCAGACCGGAATATTTGGTTAACTGATGTCATATCTAATGATTATCACTATTCCTAAATAAGTTCAACCATTAAACTAAAACAACCATCCAAATCGAGTTCACAATAATGAAGTTGGATAAGTTGATTTTTAGAACATTTCAAGTTTCGCAAGCAATTATTCTAGGTTATTGTCTATATGTAGTGTCATTGTCTATATTTAATGTAGTCATTTCCCTCTGATTAGTAATATTACATTAATTGCATCATCTTTCGGCATTTCTCATTCTATCTGATGTACGTAATCCTTGGAAATTTTAACTTGGTAGAATTGTCAGATCCAAAAATGATAATTGACTGAGTAACTATATTGATTGATAAGCTGTATTCTTTGATGTTATCCGGTCTTTCTTGGGTACCATAAAGATTGTGAGTAGGAATGAAGATTTATGAGACTAAAAGAAAAATGTATGTCGTCTCGGTAAAAAAACCAAATGTGATTTCTGCCTGCATATTATCGCATTTAATTTTTGTGCGTTGAAATCGGTGGAGGGATCATGGTGACGACATTCGCGTTCTTGTTTTACACAGCAAAAAATATCACCAGCGGCACGTGCTATCTGGATCAAACAAAAAAAAATCGATCAGAGATAAGAACGTAGTTTTGTATACCCATTTTTTATCTATATCAGGAGCGACTTAAGTGAATATAATTTTGTACAAATTAGGGCTCTAACACTCCTCTAATAGGGTGTCAAACAACTAGACTATATTGTATTCCTTATCCGAAATCGCGGTCTTTCTGAAACAACCAATTCTAATAGTTATCGCATCTTGAAAACAAGTACAATTTCTAGATTTGTAAATAATGTGAGCTCGTGTAAGAAATGCTGATTAATGCGAGAAACAAGAAAATCCGTCATAGAAAATAATAGGTCCGTTAGATCTATGTATAGATAGTGAATATAAGAATAAGATAACTATGCCCTGTACTAAATACCATCTAAAGGAGTATTTTTCGTACGCTTTACTGTAAATTACCCGCACAAACTCATCAGCCAATCGCTAGCATATCCCTGTTTTTTTTTCTCCCCTTATCATTCTCGTTCTTGAATTGTCCCTCAGAAAAAGTTTGCTGGGTCAGCTGAGAAGAGAGAACTGAGCGTGTACTTTCAAAAGCAAACTAATAATAAGTAGCTCGCACAACCAGAGATGACCAAGCTAAAGTTAGAGATACTCATTATTCCATTGAATTATGAAAATGAACCAACTAGCACAATAGACCCCATTGTTTGTAAACATCTTCTACTTTTGGCAGATCCAACAAACGATCTTAACGAATTTAAACAACATATTGAAACGAGGTACAGAAAGTTGTATCCCGCTGAAGATAAGCTCCAGATTAAAGGATTTCAAGATAAGCATGTTAGCGATTTAGATCCTGATTATCGTCTTTGTGATGTCTTTATGTCAGGCGATATTTTAAGGGTTATTGTGAAGAATCAATTTAAAATAAATAACTCATCTCCATCTTCGAGTATTGGAGACAAATTTTTGAATCTAGTATCAACACTACCAGACTTTGATTGCAGCGAAGATGTTTATACCTATGAGATTGTTGGTGATGATGATCTTTTTCGTGTTCTTTATGTCATTCAACAAATTCTGCTATGGTTCTCACATGGGTATGATTCCAACCACTTCAAATGCAAACATCATCGATTCAAAAAAACCAAACATCCTGGAGTCTTGTCTGATACCCAACCTTGTAAGGCCTTTATCAAATTGTTCTTCAAGGATGGTAAATGGTTATTATTGTGGCGATTTCGTCACGACCCCCACGATTGTGTGACTGATGGTTATTTCAATGACCATCAAGAGGATTTAAGAATGCAGAAATTTATACTTGATAATTATACACGTTTAAATTGGGATGAAATCAAGAAGAAGGAAATTGGAAATTATGTTGCACACCAGAAAGATTTATTTGAGAAATACCACAATCTGATTTACCTTTTCCATAAGCACATTTATTATAGAGTTCATCAATTTGACATTCATTCGGAGGTTTTTGAATCTTTTAAATCAAAGCAATCAGTGTTTGAAGATGCGTCTTTTAAAGAATTTGATAAAGTTGAGGGTAAGCCATGGTCTATAGTACTCATGTATTCACCTGCAAGCGAGAAGGAAATTTTACATGTAGCTTCTATCGATGGGTTGCCTTGTGATATTATTCGTCCAAAGAATCTTAAGGACTACGATGGTACTATTACATTGGTAAGTGTCTTATCACGTTGTAGTATTACTGGGAGAGAAAGTCCAAAAGTTTTCATGGTGACAAATTTGGTTTGTGACGTCACCTTGGATTATTTGTTTGAAAGAGCAAAGGATTGCTTCAAGGATGCAAGGGGGTTAGTTATCGAATGTCAGTTTGAATTCTTGAAGTCCATTAAAAAAATTCTCCCTCAGATACCAATCAGATTTTGTCCCTTATCAATGAACAGTTCGCTTTCACAAGGGTGGGTTCGTTTTGAGAAGATACCAGATTTATCTAAGGCATCCCTCCTAATTGAATTCTTTCGCATTGCCAATCTCAAAGATAGACTGTTGGTTGCGAACGAATGGCTGCGTTTCATGCTAGAATATTCTGGTTCACCTCATTGGATTGATTGTTTAGAAGGTTGGTTTGAATTAAAGGGTTATTGGTTACTGGCATATTCAGCAATTCCCCAAGAATCTAATAACTTTGTTTACAAGTTTCATGATAAGGTAAGAGATGAATACATTGGCCATCTCAAATGGAAACATTTCTCCAACCTTCTAGATGTTCTTGTCACCGTTGTCACTGATATTCGTAGCACCATTTCAGAAGTTATGGATAGGAAGACTCCTAGACTTTTGTCAAGAATTGAAGATGATACATTGAAGTTATTGAGAAAGCAGAAAGATACATCTGCTGAAGATTTTAATCCATCCCCTCTTAATCCAGGGATTTCTTATATTAAGTTGAAAGGTGACTATGATTCTTACGAGGTCATACATAATGGTGATTATTCCTACGAATGTACTTGTGATAGAGATTATCCATTTGAGAATTATTGCGAACACATTTTGAATACAATTATTAACAATACAGATGACAATACGGACGATCTTCAGTTGGAAGTTGGTACCAATGGTTATACTTTTCCTTATAAGTATGCTATAGAAATCATTGATGTCGAACTGGTTCCAGAAATAAGTTCCATTTTTCCAAACAACTACTGGAATTGTATTCGTCATGTATCGGACCAATTCTCAAGATGTGATTTTACCCAAATTGATTTAGCTACTTTATCTGATGAAGATCCTAACGAGGTAGGAGGTATTCTGGCACTCGATTCGAGAGCAGATTCTTTGGGGCTGGTTCGGAATTTTGTCAAGAGAAGACTTAGAAATCAAGAGTTTCCAAAAGCCAAGAGAGTTGAGCTTGATAATTGTATTGATAAATTTGTGAAATCAAACCATGTTTTTATGTTTAGAATTGGGTACAAATGCCACTATGGAAGGATGTTTGGATGCAAATGAGCTTAACTATGTAATCTCTTAACAAAACGTCGAGAGATGGTTTTTGACTACAAATGATTTAGTCCCTTTCGGCGCAAATGAGACTTTGTTACCAATTTCATGTTCCCACGTGGTTGGTAAATGTGTATGGATGTTTGAAAAAAGGTCAATTTTTCATTTGACTTTTCCACACTTTCAATTTCTTTTCATGAATACCATTGTCAATGACTTACTTGGTACGACTTGCTATGGTGATCTTATTTGTTCTTGCTGGTTAAGATTGTACTTGTTAGAGACAGAGTTGTTCTTTAGATGGTTGTTATTCCATATTGGAAATGTTGTGTAAGCGACTACTATCGCCAGCTTTCTATTAAGCGTTCACTAGTAAAGGAGATTTCACAGTAGTTCATAGGACTGTATTGTTGTTACTAGTACTTTGTTGTTGCTAGTACAATGGATATTAAGTTCTTTAGTTTGATTTGGCTGTGTCTTATTTAACTTGTGGAGTTTAAGGAGGTTTGAAATTATCAACACTTTTTTCCTGCACGTCGGCTCTTTTGCCACCCGCTCTTATCGGTGATCCGAAAAAAAATGATAGGCATTAAGTCCGGGTAACTTTAACCGACTTGTTTGTTAGTAAATAATCTGATCCAATTTGATAAGCGATAAGACGAAGCGAATGCAATTTAGTAAGACCTGTGATTCCTTTGTTGATCCTCGTTGCCTGGTGCTGCGTGTTTCATTTCGTTAACCTGTCTGACAACGACAATGGCTCTTCACTTTCATTGTGAACACTGAACCTTAATTCTCTTACAAGATTTCATTGGTTTATTTGCTCAAGATTTATTAAAATTACTTGTAAAGTTTAAATCAGTAAAACAATAGTAACCTATTTGATTCAAGGCGTCTCGGGGTTTACTCCATTGTGAGAGAAACTTGCATACTACTGGGCCGAGAATTCAGGGGTTCGCTTGACAAGTTTTGGCGAGATCTTTATGCATAAGCGGTTATTTGTCGCCACCCATTTATCTGCCACATTTGATGACCCGTTCGAATACCCAATGAATATTGCAAGGTCTTCATCTTCTTCAATAAGGTTTAGTAGCTGTTGTCAAGTACAATGGAGCACATCCAGAACCCCACGTTGCTACCTTTATGGGTGGGCATTATTTCACTTGCCCTCACACAGATGCAGAAAGGGCAAATGAGCTTAACTATGTAATCTCTTAACAAAACGTCGAGAGATGGTTTTTGACTACAAATGATTTAGTCCCTTTCGGCGCAAATGACACTTTGTTACCAATTTCATGTTCCCACGTGGTTGGTAAATGTGAATGGTAGTTTGAAAAAAGGTCTTTTTCACACTTTCAATTTCTTTTCATGAATACTATTGTCACTGACTTACTTGGTAGGACTTGCTATGGTGATCTTATTTGTTATTGCTGGTTATGATTGTACTTGTTAGAGACAGAGTTGTTCTTAAGGTGGTTGTTATTCGATATTGGAAAGGTTGTGTAAGCGGCTACTATTGGTAGCTTTCTAGTAAGCGTTCACTAGAAAAGGAGATTTCACAGTGGTTCATAGGACTGTATTGTTTTTAGTACTACATTGTTGTTAGTATACAATGGGTATTAAGTTCTTTAGTTTAAGTTAGCTGTCTCTTATTTAATTTGCTGAGGTTAAGGAGGTTTGTGATTATCAACAGTTTTTTTCTGTGCGGCGGCTCTTTTGCCACCCGGGCTTATCGGTGTTCCGAAAAAACAATTAAATGTGTGTGGTAAGTTTAACTGAATCGTTTGTTAGTACTGATCCAATTTGATAAGCGATAAGAAGAAGCGAATGAAATTTACTAAGACTTGTGATTTCTGTATTGATCCTCGTTGTCTGGTGCTACTTGTTTCATTTCCTGTCTGACATCCACAATGGCTCTTCACTTTCATTGTGAAGACCAAAACCTTAATTCTCTGTCAAGATTTTATTGGTTTATTTGCTGCAAATTTATTGAAATTATTTGTAAACTATAAATCACTAACACAATAGTACCCTATTTGATTCAAGGCGTCTCTGGGTTTACCTCCATTGTGTCTGAAGCATAATACTTGGATACTACTGAGCCGAAAATTCAGGAGTTCGCTTGACAAGTTTTGGCGAGATCTTTATGCACAATTGGTTATTTGTCGCCACCTATTTATCTAGCATATCTCGATCAAATATTCATTTCTAGTCTCTCCTTCAATGACTTTCAGAGTTTGTTGATACAAACAATGGAGGACAATCCAATACCACACGTTGCTATCGTTGACTTCTTTCTGAGCCCCCTCATATTCAAACCTTAAATTAGGATTGCTGAAGAACTAGAAGGACCAATCCAACTGCACCATTGTCATGACTTGCCGCCCTCTATCGATCCAAACAAATACTTACATCTATAATTAAATGCGTGAAATTGAATACAAAAAGACCAGGAAGGTCGTAATTGCCAAATTGTATGTAATTTTTTCTTGTTTGTTAATTAGGTA